TCTCTGAAGCTTGTGCTACAATGAGATTATTTATATGAACCCAAACATAAAGATATATGGCAGTGACATCAGAAGCACCTGTTACCAATTCTGATTGGGTTAAGCATGGCAGATGTGTAACTGCCCAAAATGTATTTATTTATTTATTGTGCAATTCTACTAATTTATTTGTTCTATTCTCTACTTATGCTATTGATTCATTCATTTTTTGTTTGTTTGTTTGTTTATAAATTCTTTTGCTTATGTCTCCTAGGAGACTAGCTAGTACCTCCACTAACAATGGGTCAGGCCTACCTCATTTTTTTGCTAAGCATGCACAGAGTGTATAAATATATTTGTTTATTGCGGTTGTTTTTAGTAAAAAATCAACGTGTGGCTGCAAAGTAGAAAGAAAAATAGCCATCAGCAAAGCATAAACACACATCCGTTCGTCCTTCAGCAGTGCTGTTTGTCACATTTGCAGAGTAAACCGAATGCAACTTTTGCTTAGCGTCGATTAATTTTTACACTTTTACAAACAGTGTTTTGACAGCCCATAATATGAGTGGAAACATGAGGAGTGCGCAGCTGAACCCAAATCTGTCCTCATTCTGTCAGTACAGACCTTTGGAGAACTCCAGGTATATAGGCCTAAGCTATTGCAGATACTTACAGCGTTAATGAAGAACCATGTGCTTCCGTTACCAGCATGTGTGAAGAAGTTACAACCAAACGTAATCAGCCCCCACCCCCCAGTGTAACCCTTTGCGATATAAAATTATCGTTTTTTTGTTTTAACGAAGTGTTTCGCGATATTTGCCTTCAAACTATAGGCTACACACCAACAAATGCGTTACCTTTGTTGAAGAAGTTAAAACCGGACTTTTGATTTACATCCTGTCAGTTTTCCCAAATTTAACCCTTTGGGATGTGGTTTAGCGAATTGTTTGGCGCCATTTACCCTCAAACCATCCATGATATCTGACACAACAACACGTGTTTACGAGTTACCTTTGTTGGTGAATAAGTTACAGTCAGACTTGTTTTGATTTACATCCTGTCAGTTTCCCCAAATTTAACCCTTTGGGATATGTTTGTTTAGAGAACTGTTTGCCCTCAGACCATCCCCTGCTAGCACAGGTACATCTCAGAGACGTCTATCTGACGTCTGCATTTACATCTGCAAGACGTAGGCTATTTTTTAGAGTGTTTGCTCATCTGCAAGACGTCTATAGGACGGTTCCTATCAGATGTCAAATAGACGTTTAGAAGATGTCTTTAAGATGTTTATGATTTAGAATGTATGTAAAGCTGAAATCTTAAAGACGTCTATCAGATGTTTGTACACAGCAGATGCTTTCCAGATGAAGAGATCTTTAACAGACATCTTGCAGACGTGCATGTGCTATCTGGGTTAATGCTGCACAACAACAAAAACAACAACAACAACGTGTTTGTTGATGCAGAAGTTACAACCAGACCTGTTTTGATTTACATCCTGTCATTTAACCCTTTGGGATATTAAATGATTGGTTTAGCGAACTGTTTGGCGCTATTTGCCTTCAAACCATGGATATCTGTCACAACACCTCCGTGTTTACGTTACCTTTACTGATGAGTCCAAGTTCACCTCTCATCCTGCAAAACAAATGAAGTCATTCGAGTTCAGCAAAAGCCTAAAATCAACCAAAGTTCTGTCAAACGGATTTGACTTATTGCTCGACAATAAACAGCCGTCCACTGTCCATTTCATCTCTCTCCGCTGGAGGTTAAGTCGAGTTTATTACCGACGCCTCAGCCGGCGTGCATTAAGCAAATCATAAATTATGCATGCTAATTACCTTGGGCTCCCACTGTAATGAATTCTTTTAATTAAACTACCACATTGTGGTTTTGCGCGGCACGCTCTATATTTTATCCCCCCTGCCTAGGATGACCTTCTTCTTTGTAGGAGTGGATCATGTACAGTAGTGGATCGTTCTGTCTTTGCTTACACAACAGAGTTCACGTCGGTGTTAATGAACAGAGAAAAAGCCCACTCGAAGACAACTGAGGCCTTCGTTATTACGAGCCCTGAAATCACAACAAGCTGCTGCTCTCCAGCAGAATGTGTTGGACGACTTGCCTTGACTGTTGATTTGAAGAGGTTATAATTTTAGTTATCAGACAGACAATTTGTGTAAATGCTGAAAGGTAAAAAGCGCTGGGACTGTATCTATTTATGAAAATATTAAGTCTCATAAAATATTGGACATATGACAGATAATAATTTAATTAATACATAAATGATATTTGTTTGACACTAGGCAGTAACCCAAGCTGGTTTAGCAGCACTGCAATAGTTTTATGTTATGTCTTTCTAAAAGAAACGTTTTTACATGTTAGTGATAAATTAGTCAAATAAAATAATAATGCTGAAATAAATACAATAATAATCAACTGTAAATTAATATATAATAAGAAAAATGCCTTTTCTTCAGTAAAGCTATTATTTATCTTTTTAAAGCTACAACTGATCAAATGAATTTCTGTAAAACATGCCTGTTGATTTAGACTTTTCATCTTTAAATAAAATTAAGAAAAACTTTTGACATTTAAAACGGGTCTATTGATTTTTTATCACATTTTCGTTTTTTGAAGTTTCATTTAAAAACAAATAAACGAAATATTTGTGTTAAAAACTGTAAAATTGTTTAATATGCAAAACATGTCTATTGATTAAACCTTTATCTTTAAATAAAATGAATAAATAAAACAAATGTTTGGACATTACATTTATTATACCGCTGTGAAGCTTGTTTTATATTTATATTTTTAATAGCCTATTCCTTGTTTAAGTAAATGCTTAAAAAGCTAAACATACACTTCTGGATAATCAGTATGATAACCTAGAGTAAACATCAATGCAACACAATGTCAAACCCCAGAAAAGAAAGTAAAATGAAAAGAAAAGCAAAAGGGGAAGAGTGGAAAAAAAAACTTGCAGTGTTGTGCAAACAGTCTCTCAGGGGGAGGGGTTGGATTTAAATTCCAAAGGGGTCTCAGAACTCGTTTCCTAGTCCCCCAGTCAGCTATGTGTTTGTGAGAAATCGGCCTTTTTGTCTTTCTGAAAAAAGACTAAATCTACATCGGTGGCCCAGTCTAAGTTTGCAATTCTTTGCACTTTCTATTCAAGTGAATGAGGGTGAATGAAGTGGCCAGGGACCCTTTATTTGATCAGCTCAATTGCATAAAGTGACGGAATTCTAATGTATTTGCTTAATATCCCGGAGAAGGCTGTTGCTCTCTATGCGGGGACGCAAACAATGCACCTGTTTCTCGCATTCTGACCGCGACATATCCTTTATCAATGGACCCCCCATTAAATCTGAGAGTAAAAAAGGAGGTAAAATGCTGAAAAGCGGTGAAATCATAGTGTAAAAAATCTCGGGCAACCTAATATAGAGATAGTAATTAAATATAAAGAGTAATTTTAAGGTAAAAAATATAATTTAGAAATGAAAGGTAATTACATTTAAACTGAAACTGATTTTGGGGGTTTGTGTTAGTTAAGAATTGAATTCAACCCAATTAAAAAACTAAAATAGAAAAAAAATGTGGAATATCAGGAATATTTAAAATAAGCAGTTTGCAAGCATAAAATATAATCTAGTAACGTTTTCTAGAAATAAACAATGCATAACGTATTTTTTTTTCTCTCCTCGAAATTATTTCTGCCCTCTGATGAAATGCAAATGTTAAGGTTTAAAACTCGACGTGGAGTGTTCTGTAGCTGAAGTGAGTGGCTGAGCTGATGAATGAGTCTGCTTGTGTGTGCTGTGACTGCGGCACAGTAACTTCATGCATCCTAATCAAGAGCTTCATTCATTTATTCCAGTCTGTCGGTTGTGCTTTTCCTCGAAGAAAAATGCTCACCTGCATGATCCGATGAGCGAATTTAAATCATTTAAGATGTTCAGAAAATATGCACCGGTATTTATTCTAAAACTAAAAAGAAGAGCTTGTGAAGAAAATATAGTATTAATATTTTTATTAATATTACATAAGGAAAAAATAAGATAGATTTACTTAAGCAAAAGTTTGTAAAGAGGAAAAAGTAGTACTATAGCTATTAATTACTGTTGCATTTCAGTAATTTTAATAATAATAATAATAATATTTTAATGTAATTGTTTTTTTACATTTTGAGTGTACATGAGAATTTGACCGTCTGTGTGAAGAAAGAGAAAAACACTAGCTAAATTCACAAACGAATACAAGAGGAAATGTATACGTTTACACAATTTTAATGAAAAAATATTCTGATGACCAAGTTTATAATTTAATGCAGACGTTTTGCACATCTTTCAAAAGCACGCATGCTTGCAGCAAAACAACACAAAGTCTGGAAAAGGCATGCTTTATATCTGAACAAAAAGTACAAATGTACGGCATTTAATACACATGGTCACCACGGCTTTAAATTAAACGCTCACAAAACATTTCCTGCAAAATATAATGTAAAACATCTAACTAAAAAGTGCATTGGACACAATTCAATATCACTTATTTGCAATTATTCACATATTTACTTGAAGACCCTATCTTTTAAAACTATTTAAACTTTTTTCAAGTTTGCCGTTGTAGCATACTGTACTTGTGTGTGTGTGTGTGTGTGTGTGTGTTTTAGATCAAGTATAGTATTTGGTTTGCAGACTGAGACAAGTTTAGTCGTCTAGGACGTTAGTAGCATGACTACTAACTACATAAAAAATAGTGAACATTCCAACTTACGCACATTTTCAGCACGGTAAAATTATCTAACAATTATTATCATAGGCGATAACCTGTAAAACGACGAGCACTTGCCATGTGCGATTGAAACACGAAGCAGATCGCAGTGCTTTGGAATTTGTCAGCAGTCAACCCACTCGAACGAACACATAAATTCTGGATATTTAAAATGTAAAAACTCTTCATTTTACAATATGATATCCGTGTCTATCCGTGTGATTGGAATCATCGAAAGCAACACTTTAAATCTGAACAACATACACATAAATTAACATCACTGCAACATAGATAGCTCTTGCCTTGATTGTATAGCCAGTGTTTTTTTCAAGGTCTATAGTTAAAATTCAACTTTGGAGTACAGGTGTCCACCGGGAGGCCCAGTTCGCAGGTGTCAGTGCACCGCGACCGACTGCAGCGACGCGGGACCCGTCAGGGTCTCGCTCGGGGTGGCGGGGCTGCTTTGGCTGGTCGCTGTATGCGGGGAAGTCGGGCTCAGCGACTGGGGGGAGTTCGACAGGAAAGCGGGGATGTGGTGAGGCAACGCCGTGGGCTTGATCGGGACGGGGATCGCCGGTAAGGTCTGTCCGCCGTGGCAAAGCGACTTGATGGGCACACCGTAGGCACTGTAATCGCTGCTGGTCATGGAGATGGTCGCCGCGCTGTCCATCATGCTAGTGCTGTACATATGGGGCCAGGCTGTGGTCAGCTGGTTGTGGAGGGGATACCCGGTGGAGAACGCCAGCCCTCCCGGCACTTTGTACTCTCGGGCAATGATGTTCTCAATGGCGAACGGGTGTTTGAATGTAGACGGCTGGGACACTCCCAGGTTGTAGCTGGACATCTGGGGGAGGTGGGTGCCCAGGGCGCTGAGCCGGAGCTTGGCGTGCTGCTGGAGGTAGTGGGCAGCGTCCGAGGGCTTGCTGGGCACCAGGTGCTCTGATGTCATCAACTTGAAGCGTTTGCGGCGTCGCAGGAAACTTCCGTTCTCGAACATGTCGCCACAGCTGGGATGGAGAGCCCAGAAGCTGCCCTTTCCGGGCTGATCCGGGCGCCGGGGGATTTTGATGAAGCAGTCGTTGAACGAGAGGTTGTGGCGAAGGGAGTTCTGCCAGCGCTGGGTGTTTTCCCTATAGTAAGGAAAGCGGTCCATGATAAACTTGTAGATCTCGCTAAGTGGAAGCATCTTCTCCGGACAGCCCTGGATAGCCATAGCGGTGAGGGAAATGTAGGAGTACGGCGGTTTCTGGTCGCTGTACGTGTTTCTCCCGGGTCTAGGCATCCTGTCCAAATTCTGCGTTGGAATTCAGCTGGAAGTCTGTGTCTTTGTGTCGTTTAGTATTTTTTTTTCTCTGAAGAGCGCCGAGAGTCGTCCTGCAAGTTCACTTCTCTGGTGCTGTGAACTCAAGATAGAAGAAGTAGTAGGGTTTCCTTCTTCCCAGGCCAGCTTGAATGGACCAGATCCTCTCTCTCTCTCCGTCTTTCTTGATAAGACTAAGAGCTAAGTGGCTGCCTCCATGTCCTTCCTCTAACCATCTGATAGTTTTATGTGGCGACATGGGCAGAAAAGACCCCTGTAGAGGCGCTTCATTAATGTGCCACTTCTTTGCTATCACATGACAATCGCCTTGGGAGGAGGGGGGCTGGGAGAAAGGCATAATCTGGTTTCATTTACACCTATTTACATGGACACCTTGGGCCAATAGAAATCATTTCCATTTGAAGACAGAGCAAAGGGGTGAAAAGGCTCGGCAACCGGAATTGAACTGCGATGGCACCCGGTAACAGTGTGTGAAGGTATGTGTGTGAACCTTTCTGTGCGCTTCGTAGGGTGCTTGGTCTACAATTCACACGTACAAATGGAGCTACTGAGCAATGGGATGTTTGACATGGAAATTGGCTGGAACTTGCATGCAGTTTGCATTGTATCGTCACAGTTACTTTTTGCTTGTCTTGCTGTCATGACACAGTTCGTATGACTTTTGCCGGCTTTGTTATGCCTCCTTAGAGCGAAAATGTCAATTGCATCCCAACGTAAACATGTGGAGGGCAAATTAAACCGTGTAGCGACACATTTTTTCCATGTATTTCCACATGACTAACCTGAGCGCCTCGTTATTATAATGAGCCAAGGGAGTCATACATATGCCATTTAGCCCATAAGCATATGTTTATTAGCAACTAGAAAATGAGATAATGTTTCACGGATGGTCTTTCGATACAGTCAGGCGATACATATTTTATTAAATCACGACAACATTTTAAGGTGAATGTGCACATATCTCACTATAATAACATGGTAAAAATACTAAATTTGAAACGAAAGTTCAGTTGCTGCCTTGATTTTTTTTTTAAGTTCAAGCAACACTGATTATTTTATTGCACGCTTTCGACCTTATTACAAATTGGTAGAAATAACGTGACTTTTTTTGACAAATGTAATGGATGGAAACCAAAATGTTACGGCATAATGATGAAAACATATTTACTGTGCAATTAATATCAATGACAATGCGTGCTCACAAGCAGCTACTAAATAATTACACATAGCTCATTAGTATTACACGGTGCTTACTTATGCAAATACACATTAACACTGTAAAGTGTGAACAAATCATCAAAGCGTATTTTTTTGAATGATTAATAATCGCTTAATTTTAAAGATGTGGCCAGATCTCATTATTGCGGGTTTAAATGCGCGGGCACATCCTACAATATTAACAGCAATACTTGAGAAACCTCTTCACAAAGCCGACGACAGGATAAACATAAAAAGACACGACCTTTGTACACATTAAGGCTTCCAACATATAATAATTCACAATAACAGTCGATGCGATACAAAATGATTTTTATTTCAAATAAAATGGTGAGATATTTTCCCTAAAAGCCACACAAGTAAGGAGACCTGGAGTGTGCATTGCAAAATATGCAAACATTTAAACAAAACAAACAAAAAAACCTTCTTGAAATGAAACTTCATGATGCCAGGCGGGCTTTTGTGCTCATGTAAAGCAAACTGAAAAGTACTTCACATATGCAAATAAAGCCTTCAGAGTGGCGTTGTGAAAACTGTATAAAATATCCATAAGTCAATTATATGAATGTGAAAACCAAATGGAAGCCTATTTTGAGCAATGGCCATTCAAGCTTTTTTTCAGGGCTCACCAAGGGCCACCTTTCCGCTTGGCGAGTTTGCTATGCGATGGACCACACACGAGCTCGCGGATTTGCTCATAATTTATGCAAATTTTCCACCATAAATCCACCAATGAGACCCCTGACTGCTCTGACGGATCGCGAATAGAATCAACCATACAAGTGATTAGAAGCAATACGCATTGTTTATTTTGATGCCTGTTAGGAAGATGCAGGAGGGAAAAGGTCTGTATCAAAACCACGGAAAGAGAGGAAAAAAGACTTTTACCAGGCAGCTAATATTTACAAAACAGGAGGAAAGTACCAAGCAAAGCGTTATAGTTTCCTTGGTTGCCACACAATCACCGTCTCAGAAACACTTTCTTTCCAAGCTAGGAAGTCATGCAGCTTCTCGCTGCGCCATGAAGTAGGCTGCTTCTTTTAACTTGTCATTCCTCTGCTTGTGTATTGACAGAAAAGGGCCAAAAGATTCCCATTTTCCAGGCTTCTTTCACATGAAGTTTTCCAGAGTTCTTCTGAGGGAAGCAACGTCGAGGTGGTGAAAAAGCAAGTATTCTTCAATGAATCTGCCATTCTGACGGTGCGACACAAAGTATCCGACACCTTCAGTGAAAGAGAGGGAGAGTTTGTGCGTCTACCGCTCATAAAAACGATTTATTTCTCTGCCCAAATGTTTACCCAGACAAGAAACAATAGAAAAACAACTATGTGACTTTCCTAGTGTTCGAGGAAAGAAAGGATCCCAGATAGCACATGCACGTCTGCAAGATGTCTGTTAAAGATCTCTTCATCTGGAAAGCATCTGCTGTGTACAAACATCTGATAGACGTCTTTAAGATTTCAGCTTTACATACATTCTAAATCATAAACATCTTAAAGACATCTTCTAAACGTCTATTTGACATCTGATAGGAACCGTCCTATAGACGTCTTGCAGATGAGCAAACACTCTAAAAAATAGCCTACGTCTTGCAGATGTAAATGCAGACGTCAGATAGACGTCTCCGAGATGTACCTGTGCTAGCAGGGGATGCGCTCGAAAATAACAAATGCGTTCACATGACCGTTTTCACAAAAAAAAGCCTATACATTAACAACTTTCTGTGTTCGGAACTCAGACGATTTTCGAGAGCTACATGTTTCAAACTTTGATATGGTATTCATAAATTTGTCGGCTATGAATTTAATATCTACAACCCTCACTACAACAGCACCAGTTAAAATAAAGCTACTTAGACATTTATTCTTTTATTTCGTGGCGATAAAATGTAAATGTACAAAATAACAACTATGCCATTAATCATTTTAAACAGTAGAATTAAAATTGAACTAATTTGAACTAACATTAAAATATCGAAAATAATTCTAACTGGACACAATTATGACCTCTACTAAAAAACAAATCAGACAGTGTGTGTGCTTGTCATTTTCCGATGCACCGTCCCATTTTTTGATTGTCCATCTTGTCTCCGCTGTAATGCAAAGCGTTCCAGAATCTTTTAATTGCACGCGTACCGTGTAAAACATATTTGCAATATTATGCAAATCAGTCCAGTCGCCCGCGCGCTCCTCTGCTGATCCTACAGACTCGCAGGCAAATGTTTTCACAGTTAATCACCGCACAATGGCACAGTATCAACCTGTGATGAGGGACCACCCAACTCATTGCACTTTTTTTTGCGGGATAAAGTTTCCGGCAGCTGTCATGGAAATCAGCTTTGTCCTTAACTTAACGGTTAACCAATGTGACGAGGACGAGTGTGTATTTGTTCACCGAAGATTTGCTGCTTTTTCTTCCGCCAGCCCCGAGCGCAGCGCTCAAATGGCTCTCTGCAAATGCCACCACGATTCTTGAATGGCTCGAGTCCCTGCAGCAGTAGATCAACTGTATAATGTGCGAGTGAGTTTGGTCATTTGTACAGGCTGAACAAAGGTTGGTCTAAGCCAAATTGCATTGCACTTGTGAACCGGGGGCTCTAGTCTTAAGTATCTTTTACAGCTGGGGGGACCGAGAACAATTTTGTGTGCGTCTGAAAAAGGCAGAAAAACAAAGGCACTTTCTGAAGCATCTTAAAGTAGAGTAGTGAGGCGTGACATTCCCAGGGCGATGGGACACAAAGGCTGAGGTCACGCGGATGAAAAAGAGAATCAAACAGCCACTTTCACACGTCTGCCCTCCGCCACACAATAGGAAACAAATGTTGTTAAAAGAGGATCCATTGTATATGTAAAGTATATATATACAAAAGTCATGAATTATTAGGTCATTAATTTCAATAAATGTACTCCATGTGATCTGATCAAAACGTGCCTTGCCACAAAATAGGCACAATATATGAAATTTAAAAAGAAAAATGTGCTGACCTTGACAAAAAGGTCCTAAAAAGGGTCTGAAGCGAATCTCCGTTTTTTTTAGTCAATTTGTCACTGTGCAATACAATTATAGGCATATAATATTATAAAATAAAATAAAAATATAATAATATTTGAAATAGTATCATTGATAGAAACTGATTAATAAATAAGGAATAACAAAATGATACCAAACTACTTATGTCAATATTTCCTTTCTCAAGAAGTTCAATCTTTTGATACGACGTAGATTACAGTTGCAGTCTTTCTTGACATTTTTTACCTTAACGATCAACAAAAGAATATGAATATCAAAATGAATATCAATGTGACATTTATTTTCAAAAATGAAAACGTGCATCACAGGTAGCCTATATTCGAGTCATTTTGACAAAAGAATACCTGAATAGAAATACAAATAATAACTGAATATCTTCAGATGTAATATAATAAATATTACTGGCTTATAATATATAACATTATTATTATTATTTTGTATTATTATTGCTTGCCGTTAGTGTCAGGCTGCTGTCGAGCAGAACCCAGCTGAGCTCTCAGTCAACTCCACGTGTATTTCATCGCATTATCAGCTTCATCTTTCTGCAGGCAATGTAGATTTACCAAAGAACTAATGAATAAACAAATTGCAATGGCTGGCGGTGTAATTGACATTGTTAATGCAAACATTTGAATAAACATGTCATCAAAATGCCTATTTCGAGACACTATGCCAACAACAGTGCATCATAATTCACAATAATAACGCTCTGAAGTAATCATGTTTGTTTTATTCATAGTATATATGCGTGTTTATCGTGCATTATTGTCGGGAAGCCCCGAGTTTTCCGTTTTTACAGTCGCAGGTAACCTGTCGGACCTTTACATCGGACTCATCCTATACCTTTCAGAGCCCGACCAGCATTCTTTTAATGAAGTCTGCGGCCATTTGCTTCCCCTGAGATGCTTTACGGTGCAATTAAGAGCGTATTTGTGATGTGGCGTATGAATATTCAAGAGAATGTCAATTAATTAGCAGACAGAGGGCTCTCATTACGATG